TTCTTTCAATGTTATCAAGACAGATCTTTTTCCTAGTATCTATCTTGATGACTTTTCCTTTTGCCTTCCTTTTAGAAGTTACTGTTTCTGGGGACAGTATTCCATCAATCACAAATCCTCCTGAAATGAAACAGCAAAACACATAAAATACACCTGGGGACATACAAAGCTTAAAAAAAATCCTTTAAGTACATTTAATTTCAAAGTAGCAAAGAAAATATTAGTGTTACATTCCACAGTTATTAATTCAAGTAACATAAATAATAACCAACTTTACTTGTATCTCTGTCATCTTAAATCTGGAACTGAGGGAAATATGACAGAATGATCCATTACTTTCTTGAAACCAACAGTTATCAGTGGAGGGTTTATAAAAAAGACAGGATATCATGTCTGCATCTTGTACAATAAATAACCACTAAGACAACAATATGTAATGTATTAATTATTGAAACTGTCCTACTAATCGGTTTTGAAACTGTCTCATTGCTATTTGTTTCTCAATAAAATTATTTTTTAAAAAAGGCAAAGGTGGGGCTGGAAAAATGGCTCAGCAGAATAAGTACTTGCTTGGCAAGCACAAGGGCCTGAGTTCAATCCCCGGTTCTGTAAAAAAAAAAAAAAAAAAAAGCAAAGGCATAAACTATTAGTGTAAGCAAGATACGAGTGTCCTTTGGGTTAGCTATGTCTATCAAAGGCAGAAAATGACTAAGAGAATACTACTTCCTTCCTTGCTTATCCTCTATTGTTCTATAGGAAAATATGAGAAAAATTTTGATAAAAAAATAAAAGAGAAAAATGATTAAGAATAAGTTTCAAGGGGCCGGGGAGATAGCTCAGTGGAATAAGCGCTTCCCTGGCAAGCCAAGGGCCTGAGTTCAATCCCCGGTTCCAAAAAAAAAAAAAAAAAAAAAAAAGAATAAGTTTCACATGTTCTAAGCTAATCATCACTTTATCCAATCAGAAGCACTGTCACATGATATCAAAATAACAACACAAAACCGTATCTACCAACAGTCAAACAGCTACCAAACAGGGCAGCAGGAAAATCAGTATCTCTATAGCAATCAAAACTGATTTGAATATATTTTTATCACACGGGGGGAATGACTAAATGAAAGAGTATATGTAAATGTGTAAGACAGTGCCTGCCAGATGGTAAACACATATGTTATAACAATCACTGTTTTACAACTAACAGACATTATAGTGTAAATAAGATTTTACCTGATGCTGCTTCTTTATAATCTACTCTCTCCCCTCGCCAGTATTCCAAAGGTTTTGAACGTATTCTCTTAGTCCTGCGAACACCTGGTGTCCTGGAGGGTAGCACTGTAAAAAGATGTCAAATGAAAATGTACACATATAAATGTTTAGTTGGATAAGACTTTGCAGCGGAAAGATACTTTCAGAACACGAATTACCTTTTAGAACAAGAATAATTCTAGACAAAAAAACTAGAAAAAAATTGTGTTAACAATTTAAAAAAAAGGAAAATTTAGGCTTCTAGACTGGCAAATAATATTAATATGCTGAGCTGTAAAATGCTTAAGTCAACAACTTCTGACACTGCCAGTCATGTAGATAACCCACTACTTTATAGATTACTGGACTATATTGGATTACTTTGCTGAATTCATGCATCTACAATATATGAATGGCAATAGAATATCCATCTTTGACAAAAGTAAACAAAAAGGGGAATATAAATGAAGGACCATCTTGTAGAGAAAAAAAATACATACATATGTATATACAAAATAGCATAGATATATAGCTACTTTCTCTTAGTTCAATGAGAAGAAAGTTTTGAATGAATAGCGTTTAGACAAGATATTACGTCTGCATCTTGTACTATGAATAGCTACTACAAAGACAATATGCAATGTATTAATTATTGTAACTGTCCTACTAATCTGTTTTGAAACTGTCTCATTGCTACTTCTTTCTCAATAAAATTAATATAAAAAAAAGTCAAAAAAAATAGACTGGGAAATACATGAAATTTGATGATACCCAGGCTGACAATGTCAGAAGTACACTCATATGAACAATGCTAAATTCCATCTATTAAATATTTTGTTAGCTGTATTATCAAATTCCTGTGATCTTACCTATTGTTTGTGTTATCCAATATGAAAAGTTTATTAAAATCTCTTCTAATTGTATGACTTAATAAAAAAAAACACTTTTTCTATTCATTCTTTTTTTTTTCTTTCCTTGCTCTCTTTTTTATGAATGTTAATTGCCAAGTTGTTTGGTGCACAGGAGTACAATTTTTCTTTTTTTTCCCCATAATTTTATTGAGAAACAAATAGCAATGAGACAGCTTCAAACCAAATTGGTAGGACAGTTTCAATAATTAACACATTGTATACATTCTTCCTAGTGGTTAATTGCTATACAAGATGCGGACATGATATCCTACTTACAAACATTATTAGAACAATCCCTCTATTCATTAAGAGAATGTATCTATATAACTATCCTAACCATTTTGAATACACAGACACAAAATGGACATTCATCTGTATCCCCTTTTTTGTTTAGTTCTGTTATTTGAATATTATACGTGCGTTAACTCAGCAAAATATTCTAAAAGAGTTCAGTAGTTGGGGCTGGTGAGATGGCTCAGTGGTCTAAAGCACCTACTTAGAACAAGCTTAGCAAAGCACAGGGACTGCGGTTCAATCCCCCAGCACCACATGCCAGCCAGCCCTGCCCCCTGGTGGGCTGAGCTGGCCACACAGACACACACACACACAGGTAAAAAAATAAAATTAAAAAAAAAAAAAGAGTCTAGTAGTCCATAATAGTATTGAGTCTTCCACTTTACTGGCAATGTCAGAAGTTGTTGACCTGAGTCTCCTACAGCTCAACATAACACCATGGCTTTACTTCTTATAATTCATTTTTATACTTTTCTGCTGGATGGTTAAGACCAAGATAAAGCAAGACCTATGCAACAATTTTTCTATCTTCTTCATCAATTTCTCACTTATTTATGTCCATCATTACCAAGTTCATCAACTTTAATCTTAAATTTTATTCTACAGAGCTAATATTAAAACTGTACTTTCTGGAGTGTACATTAGCCCACCCAATTCTTAAGTTTTTTTTAAAAAACACAGACTAATTTATATTTTGTAACAAAGTCTCTAACTTATTAGAGGAATTTAGTTCATTCACATTTACTGAGTATAACAAGCTACCCTTAATTTTATCTTTCTGTATTTATTATTTTACAACTGGGAGATTTCTTTCTCTTCACTTACACTGGTTGAATGACCACTTGTTCTCCAGTCTCTTCTTGGTCATTTCAAAGATTTATTCTGTTATTTCATTCTGCAATTGGATACTTTTCTACTCCTGACACTCAAAAGCTAAACTCTCACTTCTCTATGATTATGTCAAAGTGATAGCCCTGAGGATGGGGATGCAGCCCAGTGTTAGGAGCATCTGCCAGCATGTGCAAGGTCATAGATTGAACCACCTGCACATGCACACAAACACAGAAGCCTTTTTTGAGCCACTCTCCTTCTTCTGCACTTAGACCACCTACATTACCCCCCATACCCACCTACTTTTCTCCTCCATACCAAATTTTAAGTACTCTATAGATTCCAAGGTATTATTACAGAAATCCTTACTTAATAAGCACTTACAAAGTTGTAAACACACTAGCAGTATGTGGTAGATACACCCTGAAGTAATGAGCAATGCCCTTACGTGAGCCCCTCACAGAGTGCAGGTAGCACTCAACTTCATTCTAATCAAGAGACTAAGACAATGGTAATGGTATCACTTCTGTGCTTACACTGTTCTACAAAAATTTCTAGATGATATAGAAAAAAACTTCAAGATCACACAAAAAGGGCCAGCCAGATAGCTCAGCGGGGGCTGGGGAGATAGCTCAGTAACGTAAATGCCTGCCTTACAAGTATGAGGTTCTGAGTTTTATCCCTGGTACCAAAACAAACAAACAAACAAACAAACAAAAAACAAGATAGCTCAGCTGACTAAAGTACCTGCTTAGGCAGAGTGCAGAGGCCAGGGTTCAATCCCTGGCATGATGTGCCAGCCCCACCCCTGCCCCCAGGGCGCACTGTGACAGCGATTGCGACTGGGCATGGTGGTGCAGGCCTATAATCCCAGTGCTTGGGAGGCTGAAAACAGGAGGATCACTGATCACTATGAGTCCAATCTACGTAGTGAGACCCTGTAGACCCTGTCCTAAATAGAAAAGAAAAAAAAAAAAAAAATCATACAAAGGTGGAAAGGCTTCCTTGAAATCTGGCAAGTATCTTTTGATGAACTACAGAGATGTTTTTTGTTGTTGTATTTTGTGCAGGGTTTCACTACACAGCTTGGACAGTGATCCTCCTGTTTTCAGCCTCTCCAGCACTGGGATTACAGGTGTGCACCACCATACCCAGACTCGGTCCCTAGCTCAGCGCACCCGGGCTCACCACATCAAACCCGACTCCTGTGCTTGCCTAAGCAGGCACTTATGAACTACAGATTTTTAACCCTCATATGAATCTTTTCATGGGCTCCACTGCTTACAGTTTTGCCTATCATTCTAGATATCTATAGCTCTGTTGAGGACCTGGATGAAGATGGAAAACGATGTACAAACATCTAGCAGTTCTGTTTTAAGGTAATTCTTTACCTTAACATCTTTGCTTAAGACAGATCTAGACCATGGTATATAGTAAAAGTACTATAATAGGCCACAAACTGACTTGGTGTGAAATTAAATTTACTGTGAAATTCCTAAGAACTGAGTATGCAATTTTACATAAATAATTTTAATTCACTTGTCAATTAATTCAAATGCTATTTCTTCTACTGAAAAAAAGTTAGTTAAATTTAAAAACAGATTTACTAGCATTTGCTTCAATGGAAATATTACAATAAAGAAAGAAAAACCATAAATTAATTATTTACCTATTTTGTAATGCACATTATTCCCTGGTGCCACTTTGGATCCTTTCATTCTTGAGTTGTCTGTGAAATGCAAAAGA